AGTCTGAATATTAAACTCCCCACAAAGTAAGTTTCAAAGTAGGAACCCAGAAAGAATAAATAGTATGTTATAAAAAGCCCCTTCATATGCCTTTGTGTATGGCAACAAGATTATTTACTACAATATCATGAGCTAATTGATTGATTTCATCTGGCTGAGATGAAAGTACGTTTAGGACAGTGCACTTGCAGAGTTTTTGCCATGACCTTGGTTTTGATTCTTCTTTATGGATTGTCCAGATAGAAGTGTCAGTGTGGTGTTATACTGCAGAGAGCACCAATATTTAAGAAATGCAGGAGAAAAAAAAAATCTTTATTTTTTCTCCATTGTGTGCCACAAATAAATTGCAAGCAGAATGAACAAGAGACTGATTCCACTTGAATTGTGGTTGAAGGAGGGCATTTCATCCTTCTGTCTTATGTAAATCCAATTTGATATTTTTGGAAGTGAGATGCTATTTACCCTCATAAAAAATCTGTACCAGCTTTCCTCATTGCAATAGGTTTTGTTTATAATAATGCACAGCATCCTGTATATTTTGCCACAGATTGATCTGATGGGAATGGAGTGGAAACACACATTAGTGAGACAATGTAAAGATTTCACACTTCTGCTGCTTCTGTAGTGCTTGTGTTTGAGATAAATGACAGACTCCAGGACACCAGTTCTCCTTCTCATTTGCACTTTCTCTAGGCTCCAAGGAAAAGATTCAGAAGCCTAGACATCTAATGCCATTTTAGATGCTCTGGGTACCTGAGACATCTGTCAGGGCTAGCAGGTGTGACAGATGACTTAATGCCTTCTTTAGCAGCAGTTGAAAGCCATGGTGGGATGCCCTTAGGCATCTAAAATAGCACTAATGTCTATGTTTAGGTATCTACATTTCTCCTTAACCCTCTGTTGTAAAATGAAATAAATTGGATAAAGATGACTTAATCAATTTTATAGTATATTTGTATGTGTTTAAGAAATTACCTGGGGTAATTTTATAGTGGAAGTAATAAAAATGAGATTTAAGCTGCATTTGCTTTTGTATCAGTTTAAATAGCTTTAAAAATTCCTTGTAGTAAAACCTCTATGCAAATTGCAATTGTACAACAAGTGAGGTGGGGGCTTTGTTTTTTAAATGATCACTTACAAAGCTCTAGATAATAATTCATATTAAACTTGGTATATATTGAGCTACTGAACTTTCTGGTTGTAAGATAACTTGTGTCAATTTGACATCACTAGATTCAGGGAGATTTTCAGTACTTTGGTTATAAAATGACTGTTTCCATCTAATAGGTGCCATTGTGGAGATCAGACTGTAGTTTCTTCAGTGCAGCACTGTAATTGGGCAGAGCCTTTGATCAGGGGTACATGTGGCAGTGAAGCTGTACCACTAGCAGCGGTTTTGCTTTGGTTTTAGAGTGCCTTTGCACATCCAGACTGGTACCTGTGTGTTCCTGTGATCCTTCTGCTTTTATCACAGACAAAAATTCAGGGATTGGGAGAACTGAGGTTCAAATTCTCTTTTGCAGCAGACTAGAAATAAGGAACCTATCTGCACCTCAAAGACTATGCTGTGGATGTGCAGTTAGCGTCTTTTATTTTGAGTCATGGTAGTCAGGTACTGTGAATACTGAACTAAACTCAATAAATTCTAAATAGCAGTGTTCTGGAAGTGGTAGTTACTCATTGAGCTCTATGATCAAAACGAAATTCTGAGCACTCCAGTATTATATTATGTATTTATGTTCTCTGTAGTCAATGTACAGTTAAACAATAAGGCACAACAGGCATTAATCCTTTTGAAATATACTCCTGATGTCAGTGGTATTGTTTGGAATGAGCTGAAGGGTGTGTTGCTTTAACTACTTGAGTGGTACAGTAATCTTTCATGAATTCATTACCCCGGGCATCTCATTACTGTTATGAAATAAATAAATAAAAACCCCAAGGAGCTGCTCCTCAATTTAGAGGGGATTTTAACAGAAATTTAACCTTAATGGTAGCTAGTAAGGAAAATGGTATTTACGTCCTGTGTTCTGAAGATGTTGGCTTCATTCACATCAAGTCTAGCACGTGACATGGTCATAGCTACCAAAACCAGCAAAACTGAAAGTATATACGCAATTGCAGTCAGTAGTCCAAGTAACTTTTCTTATACATGCTATCCATAATTTATTCTAAGTAAAGCCAGAAATAATTTGTGCCTGGAACAGCAGCTGGAGTGGTGAGAACCATACTGCCGTGCAAGGCAGGTTTTTTTCTAAGAAAGATGAAAAACAAATTGCATGAATGACTTCTTTTTTTTTTTTTCTTTTTAATAATGCTTCATGCTTTCCAGTACGGAACATCTAGTTAAACAGAACATTATCACAGAGCACAGGAGGAGCAAACAAAAGTAGGAGCAGAATCCTTGTTTCTTTCTTCCTGTAATATTGCAATCACAGTTAGTACAAGATGCTTTTATTTTAAAACACGCAAGTGTATACATTCATAGGTTTTAACATCTGTTCTTTCTCCATTGTTTTCTTACCAGCTATTCTTAAATGTTTCAGAGAAAACCCAGGGGCTTATTAAAATTTTAGTAAGAAAGCTTTTTTTTTTTTTTTGTTAGGGCACACAAGATGTTACCTCTAAAGAAATATTAGTGAATTATTTCTTTCCTTTGACTGTAACGATTTTATAATTATACTCTGTCATAAAGGAAATCTACACAGGTTTGTTGTTTCTCATCTTTACTGGGTAAAAGCTTATCTTGCTCTGGAATGTGGACAGATGGGTATAACCATCGCAAGCATTAATTGTGATGATTTCTGTGCAAAAATTAGTTTAGCTTTTTTATCTTGATTTTATTTGGGGGGGCGGGGAACCAAACAAAATCCATACACATCCCACCATGTTTTGCTAAGTCTCTGTACAGAGATAAACTGGAGAACAATGACATAGAGTACTTGCATAGCCTGGAAATAGTGACTGCAAATTGACATGGAAAAGGTATGCTGTATTATGTGATTTCACAGTAAGGAGGAGGCAATAATGTATTCACTTATTACACATTCACTTTCTTATGGAGTAATATCTTGCAAGATACGGACTTGGGAAGGGCCTTTTCTGTTAGGACCACTGGGATCTTAATCTTGTCATCTTTATTGTGGGGTATGGTCTGTTTCCTAGAGCTTTTCGGAATATTTCTTTCAATTGGTTATTTGCATGTGAACATAAAATACAGGCAAAGCCTTTGGTTTATTCCATGTAGTGTTGTTTCTGACATTGTGGCTTTTACTGCTAAAAAAATCATTTTTTTTCTTAGGATTGAGTAATCGTGTTTTGAGGTAGGCAAAAGAGGCTGGGGAAGGGGGCCCCTTGTAGAGCTGGCTTGAAAATGTCTGTTACAAGCTATGTGTGATCCTATGAATTCAGTTATTTCTCATCCTACTTTTGTACTCCAGTGCTCCAGCATTTCATAAACGTGATTTGAAAACACCAAAAGCAAAATAACCTGCAGTACTGTGACTCTGCTTAGTGTGAAGAATGCAAGACAGATTTTCTAATAACAAACAAATGTCTAAAAAATTGCAATATTTTCTAATAGATGGCTAATCAAAAATAATTAAAATGGGACAAAATGCATTCCTTACCCCTGTCAGTAAACAATTGACTGAAGTGTAAGGACTTATATGCAATCCTCTCTGTCCAACTAAGCTCCTGGCTGTAAGTTTTTCCTGTAGCAACCTCCTCAAGGTAGTCATGCACTGTGTAAAAACACTGTCTTTACTCAGTTTTGCATTTTTGCTTTCCAGTTTTGTGGTATCTCTTCTTTGCCCTGTGAGAGACGTCTGACTTGGCTTCTGTCTACAATTTATTCTTCTGCATAGCTTTATTTTGTCAAATCTTGCGTGTTTGTCTCTTACAGAAATGAAATATTCCTAGTTTCTGAAGCCTTCTTCCATGCCTCTAATCATTTTCATTGCCCATCCCTGGACCTCCTGAATGTTTTCTAGTGTTGACTCTTGTAATTGCATTATTGTATTTTCAATGTTTATTCTGTTTCTCTATGTACTAATACTTTTTCCCTGCATGTTTGCAGTTCAGATTGAAGCAAAGCAAGATTATGCAGGAGATTGTTCTAGTATATGGCGCAGAACCTCCTTTAAAAATGTGTTTAAAACATAGATGTAGCAAGCTATGTTGCCTTTTAGATCTTCCTTGCTCCCTCTTTCTTCTGACTTGAGTGAGGACCCAAAAGCACTTAACTCCAGTGCAGAAGGAGGGAACTAATTCTTGATTCCAGACTCTTAGACCGTGGTGGTGTCACTGACAAGTCTGTCCAGTGCACTACAGCAGGTAAACTGGTGTACTGCCTAGGAGCTGTCACAAGGAATTCTCTTAATCTGTCTTCTCTGCTTTATGGACTTTATGGAAAACTGGCACATGGAAAGAAAAAAAGAGGGTTTTTTCCTTTGTTCATATCCCTGAACTGAATTAACTGCAGAGGTCATGCCAGGGGAGGGCTGAATAACCTTACTGATAACAGCTACTTGTTAGAGCTTGCTTGTATTGTCCAGCTGTACCCAAAGAAAAGTCTGTATTGTTCCTTCTGGAGTGCCCTGCCTTGTGTTTGAGCTTATTAATTTGCTGTACTGGTTTGCATTGCAACTTACCATGTCTTCTATAGAGGCAGTTCATTATGTCACTCTGCCTCTTTTTTTGCCTTGATAACCACACTGGGTGGAAGGGAAAGACCTAGTAGCACATTTCCTGAAAGTCTGGACAGTAAACCAGGAAACCAGTTAGATCGTTAGCTGGCGATCATTCATGTCTGTGTGCTTTTGCCCCCTGACTCCAGTCACTGGTGGGTTGGGATATTTTTTTAATTTTGTTTTGGTTTTCCTTCATTCTTTCAAGAACAAAAATGTCCTTTGGTGTAGTTTAAGACCTTTCAGATCCTTTCTGAGCTGCCTGTGTAGCAGAATTAATGCTTGTAAAACTTAAAATAGTTAGACTTTCAGGATGACAGAAACCAGGTAAGTGGCAGAATTTTACTACAGACTCTACCTGAGACCTGATTAAAGCCATCCAAATCTGTGGCTGCAGGCACTCTTTGAGAGGGTAAGCAGCAAATCAGCTTTATAGAAACCTTAAGACCCATATTTCAGTAAACCAGAAATGCTTTTTTGTAGCTGTTGTGTGCAAAGTGCATTCCAAATAATTACAAAAAGGCCACTGTAACGTATATACTGACGCATGTCAAATGAATCCTTTAAAGTGGTTGAGCGCTGTGAAAATTGTTCCATCTCAGACATTTATTTCAGGAAGAAAAAACATAAAGGGCTGAAACTTATTGAATGTAATTAGCCATAGCTTGCAGTGCTAGCTACTTGCTTTTCTTCAGCAAGCTCTAATTCATTTACCCCACACCTGATGATACTACAGATGCTGAAGGAATTTATGAGGAACTTGTATATTATTAAGTGCTTGAGTGGGGAGAGGTTTTGAAGCATTTAAAAAAGAGAAACTGTAAGAGGAAAAGAATTTCCTGAGCATTTTTGCAAATACATTGGTAAAAGCATCCTACACAATCCATCCTGTAGTGTTCTGCTGTTGTTTAACTGCACAATGAATAACACCGCATGCTTCCCAAGAGACATGAGAATTTGTGAGAAATCCTTCTTACGGCATGATGCTGCCCATTCTAAAATTGATTTTAAGATGCAAGGTACTATACATTATTCCTGCTGTAAATGTAAAATTACTAACTGTTGGATCTTTATATTTTGGCAGATGTACTGTTATTCAGCAGTTTCTTTATATTATTTGTGTAAATGTGCATAGAACAGGAAAAATCTGAATAATAATTGTGAATAATATGCTAAAGGCTTTCTGAGCCTGTCATTGCAATACTTATTGAAGTAGGAGACGTGCAGAAGTGATTTTAGCCTTTGACTATGAATCTTCCATATTTTAAGTCTGTCTGAACTGTGTTTTGTTTTGCATGTATACATAAAGCAGTCTCATGGAGAAAAGGGTGAAGGCCTTATTTAAAGCACAAAATAATACTCTTCCATATGGCAAGAATGGATCTTAAGGGGAAAAAGGAGCTATGTTTGGAGTAGGGGAATAAATATTCTGTTCTTCTAACTTAGTACACCAAACTGACCTCTCTCATGACTACTTGACTCACTGCAGAAATGGCTTCTGTTGTGCACTGGGTCTATGTAGCACACATGCTCTAGTAACTGAGGGTGAAAATTCAACAATCAGCAGGCAATGCCATGGACCACTTAGAAATGTAATAATTTTTTGATTTGCAGGTGTTGAATATTTTTTCAATCAGACTTGCATACTACTTCTGATTGATCTGCTAAAAAACTAATAAAAAGAATTTGGATCCTAGACTAAAGTATGGAAATTGCAGTCATACACTTTGCATGCAATCAATAGGTGTCTTTCAACATTTGCTGAAAGCAAGTGTGCTGTGTAACACAGTTGTAACTCCTCTGCATAGAGATTGCATTCAGTACAAGCTAGTAAGGAAGCACATTTATAGAGGAAGGGAGCTGAATATAAAGAGGTTACAGGTGTGTTATGAGGTCAGTGGTGATCTGTGCAAGGCACTGCATAGCATCTAGATTACTATGTGCTTCTTGTCCTCCTTTGGGAGGAAATTAGACAGTAAGCACTTAAGTAATACCTGAAGACAGCAGATCAAAGTCATTATTTGCGTAAACAGATACAGTCCCACTGACAGGTCTATTGTGATCTGTAGTTCTGAGGCTTGGTATTACCTTTAAAAGGAGATAACAAAGCCAGATGAGCAGAAACCAGGGTGGCACATAAAATTGATTTTTGACAAGTGAAAAACTGCTCATACTGGAAGAACTTCATGTCCACATTGCTTCTCTCTCTTCAACATCACGTACAGCAATGCTCAACCATCAGCTTTCTTTCAGGTGATAAATCATTTTGAGGTCTCATCTACTTACTGACTTCTGGTGTATGTGGAATAAGATAGCAGAATCTATCCCTGGTAAACCTAATTATATCTCTCTGTGACTATGAGAAATCATCTCTTTGTCTCAGAAAAGATTGCCTGTATCTTAGACAACCCTATAAAACCACAGAAAACCCGTGGTGGGGGAGGAGGGAAGGAAACAAGTTTGCATGCAGGAGCATAATGCTGCCATTTTAAGGAATTTACCGTCCACTTAAGGAAGGAGAGAGGCACTGGCAAGTCTCAATATTTGTGTCTCCTCCTTTTTCTCACAGTAACTCGGAAACATCCAGATACTGTCAGAAATCTATGACCAAATGTGTCCTATTCTAAAGACCAGTTCAGCAAATGTGAACTTCAGGAAACTTTAGATCTTCATTGAAAAAATAGTTCACATGCCATGAATCACTTTGATTGTATTTGCTAAATAAATTCCATTCTATAGGATAGGATAGCATAGATGATAAAAATCAGAGTTGAGATCTTACCTGTAAGGAGAGTGGCAAAATTTACTTCAGTTGGGTCATTTTTCACACTGAATCTCTGGGGTGCTGGAAAGGGAGAAAAATGGTTCCAGGGAAAAAAGCCTATACCCAAAAAGCAGTACTGAATTTGGAGCTGATGGTGATCCAGTCTTAGTGTTACAACAATTGATAGAGTTCTCTGATACTTTTCTTTCCTCTGTTTTCTAGAGAAGCTTTTCCTTTTTTTTCATTTGCCTTTGGCCCCATTAGTGCATTTTATTGATTCTAGACTGGTGGAATTGTGTAACTTACATTGTTGTTTATTGAAAATTTAAGTTAAAATACACCTGCACAGTGTAAAATACAGATTCTTTAATTATTAGAATGGAAATTCTAATAATTCTATATAATTTTATATATATGTATATGTGTTATATTTTTTAATCAAGAGGTAGCTTAATCTTATGCCTCTCTCCTATCAGTTGTCCTCATGCTCCTACTGTCAGTCGTCACATGTGTGATCTTTGGTCTATTATGGAAGGAAATCGTTACATTCAAGGGGCAAAATGAACTGGTTTATATTGTCTAAACATTAGTCAATTTTTCACATTAGGTGCAAATTAAAAGAAGTGTTTTGCTAAGCAGAGCTACTAATAGCAGCTATACTAATAATGAAAGATAATTTAATAGCATGGCTGCACAAGCAGAACAAGCCTTTGAAAATGTCCGAACTTTTGACTGTGACTGAATAAACCCATTAATTCCCTACACATTTCCATTCTCATTCCAGGTAACTGTAATGAAAATATGCAACTCTTTATTATAGAAAGGGAAGAAGTGCTGTATTTAGAATATCACAGTACATATATGGTTGCTTATAAAATGTCATGCAGATTAGGAATAGTGTAATTTTAGATCATAAAAAAGGCATGTATTCTGTGGTGTTTTGCTTACAGAACTCCCCTTACCTATCACGGTTCGGGTGCATCATACTGAAAACCTGTAAATTGGAGTAAATAATTAAAGAAGAAGAAACCCATACCATCTTGATTTCTGATGTGCAGTGGGAAAAGAAATAAAGGTACTCAAGCATTAAAGCTTTTGTTCTACTGTTGATCAAACTACTCTTGCATGTTTTTAAATATGCCAGTGTGATGTTGGAGGAGTCACTCAAATGCATTAATATATAATTGAGAGGTGCTGCTGTGATATGTTGATTTGTCACTTTTCTGAAAAGCCTTTTTAGAGTTCTGTCATTAGGTAGTAGACCAGAAAGAATGGATCTTGCTTAAAAACAAAAGGTCTGATGAACGGCTAAGGCAATGAAAGAGTAGGGGTAGATAAAGAGACCTATAACTAGTTCCTTAATCCTTTGTTGTCTGTTTCTGACCTGCTTTAACTGAACCAAGGTCCTAAATGGTAAAGCATAAGGGCTGTGTTGCTATTCTCTCTCAGTGTAATGTAGGAGGAAAAGTCTAGTACAGCTTTTCCTTATTGTTAAGTCACAGCAACTTTACAAATGAATGGGAATTCTTCCCTTGAGCTCCCTGGCCAGAGAAGTACTGAAATATCTGATAGAAGAATTTGCCTGAATAGTTGGTAGACGTGAATAATTTTGATATGATGGGGAAATAGGGGGAAAGAAAACAGAGAACAAGAAGAATTATTTTAAGGGAAGAAATGAGGTATAGGGGAGCAAATGAGATGTAAGGAAAAGAATTGTACAATGGAGTTAGGGAAGATAAGGCGGTAATGATAGGAGATACACTTTTGCAAGAGCTGTAGGAAGAATTCTACATTGAAACCTGTAAAATGAAGGGAGGCAACAAAAACCAGAAATTGAAAGAGGATGGTCATTTTACCCTCTTAAACTAATAACTTCTCAACCTCTTCCTTTAAAGCCTCCTTTTAATGTCAAGGAAATAAGAGAACACATCAAAAAGACTTGCTGTGAAAGTGACTGAAGGCAATCAGGAAAGTCAGTGTTAAAGCTAACGCTATCTGTGCTAGCTGCTATTGTATTGCTTTTTTACTGGGGTGGCTTCCACTTGTTGTCCTAATCTTTAATACAAAATGTATTGTGCTTCCTGTCAGAAATAGGACATGGTATTGAAATTTATACACCAATTACTTCTCTTATCATTCCCGTTTAGACTTTGCTTCAGGTACTTTTAAATGAGAATTTTTGAAATCTTGAAATTAAACCTCTAGTTATTAGACATGATCCTTCAGACCTTGTGTAGGGAGAACTCCTTTTTATTCCGCATTCGATAGGCACTTCCCTGCATATATAATAGGATGGCCCTGAATGAATTCATATAGGCTTTTGCCTCAGGGAGAACAAGCTTAGGTGGGTGACTCTGAGTATGAACCTTTGCCTGTTGATATTCCTTTTAAACTTTTCCCCAGGGTGTAGTAATGTGTACTAAATAAATGATAAACATCACACCTAACAAAGCACATGCTAGCCATTTGAACTACAGAGGGTGCTTTCCAGGTAGTTGGGAGGTGTGTGTGTGAATTATTTACTGGGGGGAGAGGGGCCTGATGGTGTTATCCTGTCACCAATTTTCCCAAAATAATGGTATTCAGGTACTTGGCAGTGGGGATGTATCATTTCTGGGATATTTAAAAAAATAAACAAAAATCACTGC